GATAAACCTCTTTCTACTCCTCAATTTTCTTATTATATATTTTCAATTTTGTAACTTGTGTTTAAACACTACTTAATAGTGATTTGGTAATGAGGTGCTTTTATAAAAAATGGGTATAAAAAAAAGTTGATCTAAAATAGGTGTATAGTAAACACTTAAAAACAGCTTGTTTTCACAGTTTTTGGTAAAAAAAAAACTGAAAACGTGAAACAACAAAAATAAGGTTATTCTCGCAGCACAGCAAAAACAATTTTTTTTTTTCAAAGCACAACATAAACAGTTTTTTTTTTTTTTAAAACACAGTAATACTAAATCAGCCTTTAAAACACACATTGAAATTTGAGTCTAACTTCTTTGTTTTCCAGCATTGACACCAATATTTGCATTAATCCATATTTTGACTTTTTAATTCTCGGCAATTTCAAATACCAAAAAAAATAAAAAAATAAAAAGGCGCCTTCTGTTTATAGCAGTGTAGCAGCTGCAGCCCTCAGAGAAGTATTTTATACAGAAAGTCTAAGCTATGAAAAGCCATCCAGGACCACCTGCGCGTTTTACCTGTCCTTCTGCTAAAATGCGCGCTCTGCGTACCTTTGGACAACAGACAAAAAGCAACAGCAGAGCAGATATACTTAAAAACTAAAATATAAAACTTCATATAAAAAATTAAAATATTGATCTCTAAATTTGTACACAGTAAATCATTTGAGTTATATCGTAAAATAAAATACCACTTTTATTAATTTTAAATTTAAAAATCAAAATATAAAGTTATGGGAATCCCGTAAATTGTTTTGACTGAAAATGCCAAATTAAAATAGCTTCAAGAGCAAAGCACACTTTCCGGACACGCGCCCCCTCCCCCGGTGCGTTAGATCCGTTCTCTTACAAGTGGACCCCCCACTCACGTGGCTGCCCAAAGGTGGCGCGTAACATCGTAGTCCCCAACCAGAAACTACGTTTACCTGGGACGGTTGGAAATAGAAATGACCGGCCAATAGGGAAGGAACACGTGTATAAGGATTAAGCTCACTGGACCTTCAGCTTATCTGGTCACAGCCGTATTGGTGGTAATTTCCTTGCCTTTCAGTGGACTATCCGATAATCCATATCCGTAGTTGGAAGTCCAATTTCCATATTACTCTCTCAAACAAAACTAACTGTTGTAACTATAATAAACGCCCCTCTTTTCCCTCCTATTTACCGACCATGCCATCCCGTCCTCCACCATCTTCGCCACCCAACCACCACCACCACCGCCGTATTCTCTTACCACTGATAACCGTATCCATAACGCTAACTCTCGTCTCCCTCGTCGTCTTCCTTGTCTTCCTCTACCGCAAGCTGTCCTACAACCGCACAACCCCATTCGATCACCACCACAGCAGCGCCACCGCCACGCCCACCGCCACACCCAGCAAGAAGAGGGACAACAACCGTCGGTTCTCGTACGCTCTACTCCGGCGAGCCACCGGTTCGTTCTCGGCGTCGAACCGGCTGGGCCATGGCGGATTCGGCTCGGTCTACAAAGCCTCACTCCCCTCCGGCCAATCCCTCGCCGTGAAGCTCATGAACTCCAATGGCTCTCTCCAAGGTGAGCGGGAGTTTCACAATGAGCTCTCCATAGCTCTGAACCTCACCAATCCTCATATTCTCTCTCTTCTCGGCTTCTCCACTGACCGCCGCGGCCGGAAGCTGCTGCTGGTGTATGAGCTCATGCCTAATAGAAGCCTCCAGGAGGCGCTGTTGGATCGGAAGTGCCCGGAGCTTATGGTTTGGAAGAAGAGGTTCAGTGTTGTGCTTGATGTGGCTCGTGGGCTCGAGTATTTGCACCATGTTTGTGACCCGCCGGTCATTCATGGCGATGTCAAGCCTAGCAATGTGCTGCTGGACTCGGATTTCAATGCAAAGATTGGGGATTTTGGGTTGGCGAGGTTGAAAACAGAGGCGGAAGAGCAGGGGGAGCACGGCGGAGTTGTGGCGGTGGAGGAAGGGCAAGAGGAGGAGGAGAAAGAGAGCGGGGGAAGGGAGAAGAGGGATGGGGATGATAATGGGTCGATTTTGGAAGAGGAGAGTGTGAGTGTTAGTGTGAGTTTGAGTGTTGTGACTGGCGGGCTTGAAGAGGGCCGGTCGCCGGAGTGTTCTCTGGTGAGGATTGGGGATTCCGACGCTGCAGCGACGTCGCCGGAAGGGGGTTTTGATAAGGTGAGTGTTGAGAGTGAGATGGATTTGGGTTTGGGGAAGAGGGTTAAAGGAAGTTCAGGGAGGGACTGGTGGTGGAAACAGGACAATGTAGGCGGATTGGGGTCTGAGTCCGGGAGAGTCAAGGACTATGTGATGGAATGGATTGGGAGTGAAATAAAAAAGGAGAGGCCAAAGAGCGAATGGGTTGCGTCACCGAGCACAAGTGGTGTCAATGCTGAGCCAAAGAAGAAGGGATTCGATTGGTGGATGTCATCGGATGAGGAGAGGGGTAAGAAGAAGAAGGAGAAGAATCGGAAGCCGAGGGAGTGGTGGAAGGAGGAGTTTTGTGACGAGCTCACCAAGAAAAAGAAGAAGAAGAAGAGGGCTTTCGATGCGGCTAGTGGTGGTGGAGAGTTGTGGTGGCAAAAGGATGAGGATTTGGAGCAAGAGAAGAAGAAGAGGAAGAGCAAGAGCAAGAGCAGCAGAGGGAGTATTGATTGGTGGTTGGATGGAATGGGTAGTGATGTTAGAAGTGGGAGGCGGAATAGTCAAGATTGGGGCACTACTTGCGGTGTTGATATACCAAAAAGTGGTGGTATTAGTAGCACACCAAGCATGAGAGGCACAGTTTGTTATGTTGCCCCTGAATATGGCGGTGGTGGGCAGCTCTCCGAGAAATGTGATGTCTATAGCTTTGGAGTCTTGGTTTTGGTCTTGATTTCTGGTAGGAGGCCGCTGCAAGTCACGGCCTCCCCAATGTCAGAATTCGAAAGGGCCAATCTGATTTCGTGGGCTAGGCAGCTTGGTCGAAATGGGAAGCTTTTGGATCTCGTAGACCAATCTATACACTCTTTAGATAAGGAAGAGGCATTGCTATGCATCACAATTGCATTGCTATGTCTGCAGAGAACACCGGGCAAGCGGCCAACCATGAGGGAGATTGTGGGGATGCTTCTGGGCCAATCAGAGCCGCCGCATTTGCCCTTCGAATTTTCACCTTCGCCGCCTTCCAATTTTCCGTTCAAGTCCCGGAAAAAGGCCCGGTGAGTTTATCCGATTTTGTTAACTGTAGAGTGTACTTTTGTAGGCCCTCTTTCTAATTATCTTGTTGTGTAAAAAATCCATGCTTAAAAGGAAAGAAAAGTTGCATGACTCTCATAACCTCAGCCCCTGTATTTTTACTCAGTTGTTTGGATGTCACTAAGTTTTGCCTGCACATAATTTCACTGAAAGCAACCCAACTGATTGTTTTGCTCCTTGAAGGTGTTGACATTTAGGAAATTTCATGATTGATAGTAAAAAGTAAGCAAATGGAAACGTTGCTTTTCTTACTTTTGCAATAGTTGTAGGCCATGATAGTCTGCAAAGTTCCTCCCGTCCTGGGACTCCAATGAGGAACTTGCTTTTTGCGACTTTTAGGACACCTTTATAGGGCCCTTGAAACATGATTCCTTTTGAGTTGTCTGCTAACTTTTGAAAAGAAGCAGAGCATTTTGTGCCAAATTAGCATAAATCTTGGTCCCATTTCAAACTCATCAGTTAACCACTATAGCTGTGTCACTTAATCTTGGGGTGGGTGAGTGTGTGTTTGGTGCAGGGGTTTGAGGCAGGGCAGGGGTAGGGGTAGGGTTTGGTTTTCGCTCGCTGTTTAGGTGCTTTTTAGATCATGGCACATTCTGTTTAAAAAGGTCGTACCCAGTGCACAAGGCTCCCGCTTTACGCAGGGTCTGGGAGAGGTGAATGTCGGCTAGCCTTACCCCCATTTTATGGAGAGGCTGCTCCCAAGTCTCGAACCTGAGACCTACCGCTCATGGGCGAAGGCACTTGCCATGGCACATTCTGTTTGGAAGAATTAAATTCTCTCTTACTGTTGTTAGTGTTGTATGAGAAGCCTAGTGCTTTTTGTGGTGGTGGAATGTACGAGAGAGACTTGCTTGTAGACTTGTGTTTCGGCTGTGCTTTGTACTATTTTGAGAAATGACGCAAGTGTTTTTTGGCCACCCCATCACTACTACACATTACGTGATCAAACTGCATTGCTCATAGGAATGAAGCAAGTGTTTTTTTTTTTGAGCTGAATAGGATGCTGGAAATCTTCAATTCCTAGACATCACACTAATTTTGTGGTTTCTAAATTTTGGATCCAATGAACTTTTTAAATTTCATTCTATCCTAATTTACCATGGTAAATCGCTCGAGAATGTCACCGGTGCCATTTGAATACGTATGAGTCATACGGTATGACATACGAACATTGTTTGAACTGGTACTTAGATCAGCAAAACCTTTTAAGTGCATTGTCTTTGTCACTTGTGAATAGAATGTGATTCCATTCTGTCATGACGGCTTGGTGAGGAATACAACCCAATTTTATGGCATCTCTGTGACTTGTAAAAGGGAAAATGAGAGTAAATTCAGATTCTACTGACTAGTGAAAACTTTCTTTCATATCCAGATTAGACAGTGAAAAAAAATGATCCTGGCTTATATATATTTTGTCAATTGCCTATGTTTTTGGCGAAAATTCTAGATTTTTTTACCCTTATGCGCCCCATTAGTTGCCGTTAGATTAGTTTGGTGTAATTGATTTAAGATTTAAACTAATTTAACGGCAATCAATGATGGAGTGAGCATCACTTTTACTTTACCGCCTTGGTCCAACATTTCTTAATGTTTTCTTATTGAGTTGGGTACCATAGATTGGGGAGGATGGAGGCCCAACTCTTTAAAGGAGAAACTGAGCTAGTTTAAGTCGGGCCCAGCAACGTGTAAATATTGCATGATCATTCATTTTCTTTCTGTAAAGTGCTTTTTTCATGCCACATGTGTTCTCCCGGCTTGGCGCCCTTCTCTTGGTAAGCTTGCCTTGTTTGAAATTTCATTATTTATTTGTTTGGGTTTTTAAAACTTGGGGATGGGAGAGTTTGAGTGAAAGATGGGTGAGAAGAGCGAAGGGATGAGGTTTGCAATGAGACATATTTATGGGTGCAATCCCAAACTAGCCTTAGCACTTACAATACCAAACTAGCCCTATCACTCATAACAGAGTGCGATCCCATATAAAAGTATCACTAATATTGAGTCTTACGCGGCAAAATCTCCAAGGAAAATGGCCTCTCCAAAAAGATATGTTTCCAAGAGATTGACTGAAAAGAAACCCTAGGAACAATCCCTGCAGCAGTCTTCCCGCTTCACCCCTTTCCCCACCGTCTCCCCAACTCCCACCCCCACCGAGTCCATTCCCGCCACCGCCGCCGAGTCAGACTCCAACTCTCCCCAACTCGTCCTCTCCAAGGACACTCCCTTAAACCCAGAAAACAAAACCTTCCTCAGGCTCTTCAAACCCCACCCTCCAAACCCCAACCTCCCTCTCATCATCTACTTCCACGGAGGTGGATGATCTCTTGCCGATGAAGATCCGAGGGCTGATACTAAACCAGCCTTTTTTCGGTGGGGTCCATAGGACTGAATCCGAGATGAGGTTGATCAACGATCGGACATTTTGCCAGCTGGTCGTTAACGACTTGATGTGGGCCACGGCTTTGCCAAAGGGAGTCGATCGGGATCACGAGTATTGTAATCCGACGGCGGGAGTTGGGGATGGGAGGATCGAACGGTTGCCGAGGCGTTTGGTTAGAGGGTACGGTGGGGACCCGCTGATGGATAGGCAGAAAGAGTTTGTGGCGTTACTTGAGTCACGTGGGGCGCACGTGGTGGCCAAGTTTGACGAGGAGGGGTTTCATGGCGTGGAGCTCTTCGACCCCAGCATGGCCCAAGTTCTGTACGACATTCTTAGGGATTTTATCGAGTCGTGCAGTACATACGACGGTGATAATGTTGTCGTTTCAAAATCGGCCACGTGAAGTAAGGCCAAGAAGCTGACATGGCTTGTTAGAAAACGCCATTTTGGTTGCTGTTACTTTTGCTTGCAAGGAGTTTTACTGTTTTAGCCACATTAAAGCACATCCAATGATTAAATTAAAATTATGGGTAATGCTACGAGATCATGTATGTAAATTATATTTTGTAAATTATATTATGTGCTAGTTGATAATTAGATTATTAATTAAGTATTAATTAACGTGTTTATTTTTTATTGATGACATATTACATAATTTACACATTACTTGGTACTCTTATCTTGCTTAAACTAGACATCAAACTAATTTTGTGGTTTCTAAATTTTGGATCTAAGGAACTTATTAATTTTCCACCTTATCCTAATTTATGGTAAATCGCTCGAGAATGCCACCGGTGCCATTCAAATGCGTATGACATACGAACATTTTTTGAACCGTTATTTAGATTAGCGAAACCTTTTAAGGCATTGTCTTTGTCACTTGTGAATAGAATGTGGTTCCATTCTGTAATGATACTATGATAGCATCGGTGAGGAATATAACTCAATTTTATGGCATCTCTATGACTTCGGGAAAATGGGAGTAATTTCAGATTCTACTGAGAAGCGAGAACCTTCTTTCGTACCCACGATTACAGTGTGGAAAAAAATGATCCAGGCTTATATTTATTTTGTCAATTGCCTATGCTTTTGGCAAAAGTTCTAAGATTTTTTACTGTTATACACTTTGTTTGTACGATACTTGACCAATCCCGAAACTACCAAGCATCGGTCAACTTTATACCTTTAAGGATCCACAGAGGGGTTCATGCTAAGGCACCCCAGTCGAAGCACAAGAGTTTTCCTCCAACCAGAAGGCCAATCATAACACGATACATGTCAACGTCAGAATAAAGCTCATAGAGTCTCACATCGACCGCAGACAAAAGCTGAAGACTCTCATCAACTATAAAAGAAGACCATTCTCCTACATGAATCCCTAATATCATTATTGTACTAAAACTAGTCATTAGAACTCACTAATGATGATTATGCTTCAATCTATGTATTTTTGTAAACTCTTCACTATTAATGAGAACTCATCTACTTCGTGGACGTAGCCAAACTTAGGGTGAACCACATACATCTTGTGTTTGCTTCCTTATCTCTATCTCTTTACATATTATCCTCACTAGGTGACCAAGCAACCGAGCGAAGGTCACAAACTTAACACTTTACGTTGTTCCAAAGTCTTCACTGATTTTATGCATCAACATTTGGCACCGTCTGTGGGAACAACACTTATTCCTACTATCCCCAGCTTTGTCAAGCTGGTTTCCATCGTTTGTACACTCTCCTTTGATTAGGCATCATTTTCCAACATGGGGAGTGAAGGGAGCCATAACACGCAGAATAACATCCTCTAGTTCCTAGTGTGAGGCGGCGAAGGAAGGAAAGAAAGAAGTTTACTCTTCAAGCCAGGGTCGAAGAGCTAGAGGCTTAGAACAACAAGATAGCGATCATAAATGAGATCTTCCAAGAACAATATAAAAGCTCTTCGAGATGCTCTACGAGGCTAAACAGACTCAGTCTTACGAGCTTATCACCCCTGTGATTGTGAATCACCACATGAGTACCCACTAACACGAGAGTTCACATATCTTCAACATGGGCGTTCTTAATGAGGAACGATCTTTTCGCCATAATGTCGATCAATACGAGACTTCTTTCAACCCAACTTCTTCATACTAAAGCAAAATATATGGAGGAAGACATCTTTTTACAAAAGAAAAAAAATGATCGAGAGCCGTTTACCTTGACTGTTGAGACTTCTTGAGATAGCGTCGAGAAAATTCTATCCATATAGGCTCAAAGATCAAAGACCCAAGGGTCATTGAAGGGCTAAGTCCTCTATTATAACATAGGCCAACCCCTAATCTAGGAAAGGAACGACAAGCCTTGCGGCAACAAAAGGGCGTATGAGACTCAGGGGACTTTCAATAAGCACATTAGAATAGCCAATATATTGAGTCCAAGGAAATGCCAGATGTCCTTGACTGATCTTCCCTACTTTCAAGAAATGATGGAAACCTACAAAAGAAATCATTAATGATGTCCGACTCCACTTAGGACCCCCTTATCTTGCAGCTCATTGAGGAAGTGAACAAGTTGAAGGCTGAACGTCACGCTAGGATACCTGACTGGAATCAGCCAAGGCTAAGCCATCTGATAAAAATGATCCTTTGCACTTTTCTACGAGGAGAAATAAAATAGAAGCTTGGCTTGCAATCTTATTCAGAGAGAGAAAATCCAATTGAACATATCCACCTCTTTGAATCCACCATAACATATCGAAGATATAGTGATGAGGAACGATATCTCATTTTTCCCTCCATTCTCTCTGGTGGAACTCTTAATTGGTATTGTGGTCTTCAACCTGATACGATAGATTCTTTTGCTGAGCTAAGGAGACTCTTTGTGGCTCAACATATCTTCCAAGCTGATCGTTTACACTTTGCTAATGAGTTATACACTATTCGTAAAAAATCAAACAAGTCATTGCGAGAATATGTCGGTCGCTTTAACCACGAGTACTGTCGTTGTGCTGAGGCAGATGACAAAACAACATTCAGGGCCTTCACAGTAGGCATGCGTGAATTCTACTTCAATTAGATGATCAATGCTAACACTTGGAAGACTTACTTTGAGGTGATGACGCAAGCTTACAATCATGCATTTGCTGAGGCAAGGACATACCAAGGGAACCCTCATAAGGTAAACCCCTATCAACAAGTAGGGAGTAAATGTCAAGTTCTACCAAGTGAGAAGGTTTTGGCCATCCAAACACTCATTGCATCCCCTCCTGCCCCACTTAGCAACCTGCCAGGTGACCAGGCTTATTTGCCTTTTGGCAAAAGGAAGAATTTTTACTCTCAACAAGCTTATTACAACAAGAGGAATAAAGGTTCGTTTCAAGACAATCAGGGGTGAACGTACCTTCAACTGTTATGACCATGGGGTCAAACATCGTTTTTTCAAAGTGGAGGACTGGATACTGAAGAAAATGCTATTATAGAAAGGCATACGCATAACAAATGTTTCAACCTTCAACCGTTTGACATCCTTTGTAACACAAGCCATTTGGAAAATATTTAATGAAGAGGCAATTCAGACAACTTCGTCTAAGTCTTTTGCATTCCTAACACTGGACACTAGGTCTAACTCTAACCTACCTCTATACTTTAACTTAAAGCATCAACATACGTACTTCAACACCAAGTAAGTGAAACTAAGTGGTATAACCAACACGGTTCACATATCCAAACAATGGATTCCTTCATGCACAGCAAAACATTCATAAACAACATGCATGTCATGAACATCACTCATGTCATAAGTATTACTTATGTCAATCAACATAAACTTCATACCCTCCAAAACATTCATACATAATTACGAAAGGGTGTTAACATACACTTTTTTTCTTTTGGCACGTGCTACAATGTACCTTGGTAACTCGCCGTTCTTTCCACCAACCAGGTGATGAAGCACTCATCTTTGTTTCACCAACCAGGTGATGAAGAGTACAACCAATACTCTAAGAAACAATTTTAAGTTTTGGCAACTTGCCACTCTTCTTACCAACCAGATGATGAAGGAACTCACCTTCATATCACCAACCAGGTGATGAAGGGCACAACCAGTACTCTAATAAACAATATTGAGATTCAGCAACTTGCCACTCTTCTTACCAACTAGGTGATCAAGGAACTCACCTTCTTATCACCAACCAAGTGGTGGAAGATACAACTAGTACTTTATTAAACATTTTTGCCTCAACAACTCACCACTCTTCTCACCAACCAAGTGATGAAAGAACTTACCTTCTTTTCATCAACTAGGGAAGAATAGTACAACATGCACCTGTGGATTCTTAACATTCATAAGCAGTTGAAAAATTTCAAGCCTTAGAATTCGGAAAAGGCATATACAAACTCAACAAAGCCTTCCACATTCTTGCTCAAGAGTGTGGAGGAAAAATCGTATTATATGGTTCAACAACCCTTCAACAACTACAACATGTAGATTGTCTTCTACACTCTTGCTCAAGAGTTTGGAAGCAAAATCGTCTTATATGGTTGTTTGGACCCGATTTTGCATTTTCGGCCCAAGCAATTGTGGTCGTCGGATGACTATGAAAATTAAGAGATTTTTCTTGGCATTACTATTGATTTTAATCATAATAATTATCTTGAAAATATCATTAAAGCTTACAGAGTTATGCGTGGGATCCTTTTGCAGATAATCAAAGGTTTTATCGGGTTGTGGAGAAATTAAAAGAGATTGCATAGCTGGCTACTTGCCAACCCCTTACAATCAACACGGCAGTAAGAAGAGTTATGTGAGGGCTTTCCGTGTAGCTTTAGGATTCTATCCTAATCAAAATGTATCTAGTCAGTTGCATGGATTCCATATTTGAATGGGTTTGCATCCAGAACCACGTGGAACAATGGTACAAGGATGCAACTTTGGATGATTAGCATATGAATATGCCATTTTTGTCCGTTTGAAACATTAAGATGGTGATGTACAATGAAGATTAAAAGGTCCAATGCATCTCAATGATTAACATTACGATATCACCAAAATTCAAAGGATAATGCGTGGTAGTTCATGATTATTATTTCACAAGGTATGGTTTGCAGAGAACTCTGTAACTTGGTTATCTGGTCATCGTGAAAGTTCACCCTTATAAATATAGGACAATCTGCAATGAGGACAACTCATCCAATTCAACACACAATTGCCCTACGTAAACCTCTCAAACACCTTGAGATTTTTATTTTTTATTTTTTTTTCGCCAACACATCTCCAGTTTGGATAAACAACATTGTGAAGGCAACCGGTGACAACTTCAGTTTGGATAAACAACATTGGAGTTGTAGAATCAAATGACCAAGGAGCACATTCAGTTTGGATAAACAACACTGCTTCAAGACCGACTAGTTATTTATCCAAGTCTCGGTCAACAAGGATTTTCGAGTTCTTGTTGGTAGAGGTCATCTCATCAGCCTTCTTGCTCAAGAGTGTAGAAGCAAAATCAATTTATGGAGTCTTATAAAATGCTTCTCACATTTTGAAGGGTAGAGCTTCCCACACCCTTGAAGGGAGGAGCTTCCCACACTTTAAGGGAAGGAAGCTTTCCACACTTTGAAGGGAGGAAGCTTCCCACACCTTTGAAGGGAGGGAGCTTCCCATACTTCGAAGGAAAGGAAGTTTCCCACACGTCGAAGGGAGGAAGGTTCCCACAACTTTGAAGGGTAGAGCTTACCACACTTTGAAGGGAGGGAGCTTCCCACACCCTTGAAAGGAGAGAGCTTTTCACACCTAAGGGAAATAGCTACCCACACCCTTGAAGGGAGATAGCTACCTACACCCTTGAAGGGAAAGAGCTACCCACATCCAAGGGAGAGAGCTTCCCACACCCTTAAAGGGAAAAAGCCTTCACACACTTTGAGGGAAGAAGCCTCCCACACCTTGAAGGGAGGAAGCTTCACACTTTGCCTAACTACAAAAAATTCAAAAAGCCTTCCACACTTTTGCTCAAGAGTGTGGAAGCAAAATTTATTTATGTGGTTCAAAAAAGCTTCAACCAAAATCTTCAACCGAAAGCTTCAACAAAAAATTCAAAAAGCCTTCCACACTTTTGCTAAAGAATGTGGAAGCAAAATCTTTTTATGTGGTTAAAAAAAGCTTTAACCAAAAAGTTTCACCTACAAAGCCTCAACCAAAAAGTTTCACCTACAAAGCTTCAACCAAAAAGCTTCACCTACAAAGCTTCAACCAAAAGGCTTCACCTATAGAGCTTCAACCAAAAAAATTCACCTACAAAGCTTCACCCACAAAGTTCAACCAAAAAGCTTCACCTACAAAGTTTCAACCACTTAATCTATGTGCCCAAAGGAAAAAGCTTCACCTACAAAGTTTCAACAAAAAAGTTTCACCTACAAAGCTTCAACCACTCAAGCTATGTGCCCAAAGGCAAAAACTTCAACCATTCAAGGTATGTACACAAAGGAAAAGGTTTCAACCACATTTTCTTTTCTCACCAAAAGAAAGAAGGAATTGGGCTTAAGAAAAAATATATATACTTGAGCTAAGTTCATAAAAAAAAAAATGAGGATAGAATTTTTGAAGTCTTTTTTCTAATGACTCAAGAATATCAAGCCACCTCCTTCGATTATCCTCTTCACTTGGATACTTGGGGGACTCCCACTATATGCTACTACACTTCGGTACTCAGAAGTTTCGTGATTACTTAGTGACTTGGATTTTTCAAGTCCCCAACCAAAAAGCTTTCCTCACACGAGAACTTAGGGGACCACTGTTTGTACCATACTTGACCAATCCCGAAATTACCAAGCATCGATCTACTTCATAGTTTCAAGGATCCACTGAGGCACCCCGGCCGAAGCACAAGAGTTTCCCTCCAACCAGGAGGTCAATCACAGCATGACACATGTCAACATCAGAATAAAGCTCATCGAGTCCCACATCGACTGCGGACAAAAGTTGAAGACTCTCCTGAACTATAAAAGAAAACAATTCTCCTACAATGAATCTCTAATGTCAATATTGTACTTAAACTAGTCGTTAGAGCTCACTAATGATGATTATGCTTGAACATATGTATTTGTGTAAACCCTTCACTATTAATGAGAACT